GGGGGGGGGGGGGGGGTAGGGAAAGGGTCAGGCGACTCTCTGGACCATTTGGAGCATTTTAATATTGGATAAGCCTACTTTGCTATGGGATTCATTAATGCTATTCTCACCTAGAGCTGTAGGGGGCGCAATATTACGTGCACAGCGGTATAAAGCAAACATACGTACATATATTGCTAAACGGAGCCTAGAAGCTCATGCTGAGAAGATCCTTGCTTCCTCTTCTTTACTTATTCTTGGCTGCTAGCGGCTTGCGGCTGATCTTCTTTGACTTGTCGTTGTTCTTCTTCGGAGGCTCCGGATTGGCCTGCATGTGCCTCCCATAGAGGCTGCAGGGGGACAAGAAAGCAGACAAGTGTCACATGGGCATTACCCATGGGGCAGCGGGGCAGGCCTATATGATAAACATCCTGTCTTTCCATCTCAGAGTGACTTGGCGAACGTCATCCAGAGGTATTACAGCTCACTGCCATTTAAGAGAGAGAGAGAGAAAGAGAGAGAGATGGAAGGAAACAGGGGCCAGGGAAGGGTGGGGATTTCTGGTCCACTGCACCTCCTGTCTTAGAGGGGGGAAAAAAACTCAGAGTCTGATGGACGGGGGTGAAGAATAAGCGAGAGCAGAGAAATGGATAAAGCTGGGATGGGGGGGGGGGGGGGTGAGGGATTGAGAGAGACAGGAAGAGAGAGCAGAGAAAGGAATAAAAGAGATATGGGAGAGATATAAAGGAATTTAAAGACCTGGAGGGAATGGGGATAATGATGGGGGGGGGGGGGGGCGGGGGGGCAGAGGGATGACAGGAGCAGAAGGGCCACACTCAGACTCAGGGGGTGGGGGGATTGACACGATTAGAGGGATTACAGATGTAGCTGCAAACATGTGAAAGTGGCAGACTGCGTCGTCGTTATGGGAAGAGTTACAATCAAACAGGAAGCCCCCCCAACAATGAGAGGCAGATTAATGGGGGGTGGGGGTTAAGCACGTATGATGTACATCTCAGACACACACGAGTACTTAGATGGTGAATCATACGCACACACACACAAGCCCTGAGATGAGTACACACAATCTAGACACACACACCTAACACAAGGCTCGACGTAATTCCGAGGACGGACTGTAGGAGACACTCTCTCACAGAAGGAATTTAACTTTCAGAAGGTTTCAGAGGCCTGCTACCGACATGCTCAGGTCCACTCGCACAGCCGGCCTCTGTGGACGCCCGGCTCATACAGTTTCTCAAGAGTCTTTCCCTCCATGTGCGTCTCTGCTGCCGCTGCCATGAAAGAAGCTTCCCGAATTGGGGGCGGGGGGGGGGGGGTCAGTGCACGAGTCAGCCTCTGGAGACGGCTGACAGCACCCCGTCACTGGGAGCCTCCACCAAGCACCCCCCCCCCTCACCTAGGGAGGATACTGAGGTGCCTGGTTTGCTCCTGGGAGGGGGGGGGTCACGATAACTCCTTTACCCCAGCTTGTGAAGCGGTCAGCACTTGCCCCGCTGGGATCTGGAGCAGCCTGGTATGTGCTCTAGGTCCCACAGTCCAGTCTGGCAGCTGAGCCACAGGAGGACAGACTTCCAGAAGCCTCCTGCAGAAAGCTATTGGTGGTGGGGGGTGGGAGGGGGAGGGATCGCGCAAGGGGAGACCCAGGGGAATTCAGGACCAGAAAAATGGCCCAACGCACAAGAATGCTCCTTTATCTCAAGGCAGTCTGTTGTACTGTACTTATTGTTATTGCATTTCTGCTCATACCATATTATCCATTTTATATGCACCGTTTTTTTTTTTTTATAAACTATACATATACTCAAAAGCCACTTTATAAGGAACATCTGCACAATGCACTTTCATGCAAATATCTAATCAGCCAATCATGTTGCAGCAGCTCAATGAAAACGAAAACCTTCAGGTAATGAGCAGATCAAGCCTTGGGAATGGGAAGAAAATGCGATCTGTGGGACTTTGACCGTCACGTGGATGGTGGTGCCGGGCCAGGAGTTTTTCCAGAATCTTCAGGAGGGGAGCTGGTAGCACCCCCTACTGGTGCTTTCGGGAGCAGCACTGGATTAACCAAATACTGTCACTAAATCAGTCCAATCAAAAAACAAAATTAATCACTGGATCTAAAGCAGGGGTAGGTAGGATAGAAAACATACTGGACACTGGCACTCCAGGATCAGGGTTGCCTACCCCTGGTCTAAAGGGTAGAGGTCAATTAGAAGCACCAGTTGGAAATCACTTTAAACCCAAGACAAACCCAAACCCCAAAGACACACCTGCCCATATGAGATCATTTTCAGCCACTCAAACATCACCACAGTTGTATCATTATTATTATTATTATTAATATTATTATTATTATTATTATTATTACTATTATTATTGTTGTTGTTATCAATAATAATAATCCCCCCACGGGGCCCACCTATCACATTCCCCAGGTCACCAGTAGCCATGCATGACCCCACACAGTACAAGGAGAACTCAGTTAATCTATGGAGCATCAGTCAATATGTGCCAGCTCGTTACGGCGGCCCCCGCCACCCCCTCTGCAGGTGCAAACGCACAGATCCTCCATCCCACCTGACAGAAGACCTTAACACCCCCGGCCAAAAAAAATAAATAAAAATAGAAGAAAATATAAGTATAAATTGGCATTGTTTCTGTCTCTCCCCCCCCCCCCCCCCCCCCCCCCCCCCCCCCCCCCCCCCACCCCCTCCCCAACCCTGTCCAGCTAAAGCCAATTATAAGATGCAATGCGTGCAGAGCAAAGGATAAGGTTGGCTTCCTGATGCGACTCGGGGATGGGAAGACATGGATTTTGAAAGGCTCGCCGACTCCGCTGATCTCAATCACAGCTGTTTGCGTGTTTGACGGTGCATGGACTGGAGCGTGTGTGTGCGCGTGTGCGTGTGCGCATCCAAGGCTCATTATCGCGGCAGCTGTTGACCTGATGATACAACCTGGAGAGAAGCAAACTCAAACAAGCTATAAAAAAAAAAAACACGTATTTATTTCCTTAGCGGACGTAAATTAATCGGTGCTTCAAATTCATTGTGTGGGAGCTTAACAAGAAAAAGGTTAGATAGTAAAGGCTACAAATGCCAGCCTATTAACAAGACAATAAATTATAAATTTATAAAGAAGACTATAGTAAAAGATAAACTGGAGGTATTTGGCTACTTAGATCACTCTATATTCAAGGGCAAATAACAGCATCATGGCAACATCACCCAGGGACTGTACCAATTAAAGAGTTTCCCCTTCGGCTTCTGATGTGCTCCTATATGAATGTGGCCATAATTTTTGATAGCTTCCTTGCTGCCATTTCAGTTTTCAAGCTTTTTTTTTTGGCTCCCCCCTCCATAATCCCCCTTCCCCTTCTAAAAGCTACAGTCTGACAAGGTAACCCCCATTCCTGTCGCACACACCCAGGGTTCGCCTTGTGATCGGAGTCTGTACCAGGGCAGAGATGCACGTCTAAGCGACAGCTTCTCTCCATTTAGCATCGTCAAGATACTGATCATTAAAGCTTCTTCCAGCGTGTCTGACAGCCGTGTGTAACAGCGCGAGAGGCGGACACTCCTCGAGCTGCCGCGATGGTGGCGTACGTCACGATACACAGCCAAGAAGTGTAACCTTCTGTGGGTCTACACTGCTTGTCTTCTACCGTCCTGTGACTGATGCCCCGATTTGGGGTTGGGGGGGGTGGGCAGATGGAAGAGTCATAAGCCTCACTGAGCAGAGTGCCAGCTGACTTACCACCCCGGAAAGTGGACCTGAACTGGGTGAGAAGTCTGGCTGATTGCTACTCAGGCCTGACCTTTGGGTCCAATCCAACTAGTCATGATAAAATATACACACAAGCACAAAATACACAGTCCTACAAGTCCGAGCCGAGTCTCTAAGGTGATTGGGTCAGCTGTGGGGTCCAAGGGGATAAATCCAAGGGAAAACCAACGTCCAGACACAGCGGGTTCTGGTTGGCACCGATTCCGGAACCTGTCGATCTTCGTGCCGGCACTGCAGGGACGAGTTTTGAGACGGCCCTCCCTCTGTGGACAGAGGGAGCTCCACTGCCACATCAATGATGTCCACAAACTGCTGCATTGTGGAAAGGAAGGGCGAGAGTTTGGGGACCGAAAACTAACACGGGGGTGGGGTGGGGGTTCACAAAACTTGTACTGACAAGGGCAATGGAAATCCATGGAGGCAATGGAGACAGTCGATAAAGCTAAACGACAATAATTAAGACATATGACAAATTGGTGTGTGCCCACGATTCCGGAGCATATCGCCGACACCATTCCCATTTACTGCCAATCGACCTGGCTGTTCCTCTGACCCCTCCCAAAACCCCTACCCCCTGTCCTACTAAAGAGCTCTTGGCATGACGGTGCATTAATTAGCACAATAACCCTCCCACGTCAGCACACAGAATCTCCGAGCAGGTCGCTCGTCTGACATTCGCGGGGCGTTATAAACGAGCCCCCGCCATTGGCCGAAGCAGGCAACCATTAAATATTCAGGAGGCAAACGAGCGGGAGCATCGCTTTTCTCGCCGGGGGGTATCGTTGAAAGCTGAATGTTCTGCGTTTCTGGTCTTAATTAAGGGTGAACGAGTGCCGGAAGGTCGGAAAAATCTTTGTCATTCTCGCTTCTGTGGTCCCAGGACGGGGGCTCCTAATAAGGCCGCTGACTGATATCCTTTAGCTGACCCTCAGTATGGCGGAAGGTGTAAGTACACATCCCCCCCCCCCCCCCCCCCAACCTGACCACAGCCGGCTAATGAGGACAGATAAAGGCTGGATCTTTAAACCTCTGATAGGCACCTCTGACCCCCACAGCTGCTCAGGTGGGGTATTTCCTGGGGTCAGAAGATGGTGAGATAGCTTAGGGTAGGGTAACATCCCATTCTGAGAAATACACACAGACATACTTGAAATGTAGTGAGTGGGGGGCGCATCAGAGCGTCGAGTGACACAAGCCTGCCTTCAAACTGAACCTTTGGGTGCAGGGCGGGGGGGGGGGTGTCAGAAAGGTGGTGGCGTGCAGCCACACCCTGAAAGCCATTTTAGCCGAGGCAGAAAAGGAGGGTGGGTCTGCCTCAGTGAGCCTCCCTGAGCAAAGACAAAACCTTCCTCGAACCCTCGGTCTGACACCGCGCTCCTTCGACAACCCCCTCCACCCAGTATCACCACAGTGGACAAAGACAGGGATGACACCAGTCAACCATCAAAGAGACAAGTGTGCCAAAACGGCATACATTTGGTTCCTGCTGGCACTCCAAACCCAGCAGCCACCGAGTCAGACTCTTCCCGCAGCTGGAGGCCGCTGAGGCAGAACCGCTTTGGGCACGGAGCCGGCGCACGTCCCAGCCAGGGCACAGGAAATACGCTTAATATTTATGTCGGCGAGCCGCGCTGTCAATCCCTCCCCTGCTCCGCGACGCATCGGAGGGTAAGGCGTTGGGGGGGTGGGGGTGGTTCGGGGACCCATCAACACATGCAAATGCTCACCAACGCCTTGTCTTCCCCCGAATGAAGCGTGCTTCATTAAACTTTAATTTGCTTTAACACTCTCATGCTAAATGGCTAGGAGCAATGAGCAAAGGAGAGGGCCAGCCGGAGAGGTGCTTATTTTCATTTTTAATTATTCATTTCTGTCCCCCCTCCCTTCTCAGTTACTGAGGCAGAGCTGGTATCAAACAGCAAGGCGGTTCTGGTCCAAATACACCCCGGCACCCCCCCTCCCCACCACCATTCCCAGCTTAATCCACTGAACCCCCACCCCTCCGCCAGGATCTACTGGGATTCCCGGTTTCTGGTCACAGACTGCCTGAATTCGTGCACTAAGTTGCAAGACAATAATTAACATTCCTAATAAATTTATAATTAAAAAAGAAAATTAAGCATCTGCTCCCCTAGCTTGCTTTGGCTTGTTTGTCCTTTTCAAACAGATAAGTAGAAATTAATATTAAGATTAAAAAAACACATTAAAAGGTATTATTACGACTCAGGAGTAATCAGGCAATAAGGCACAACTTCCCGGCAATTCGGCAACGCTATAAGTTTTAAAATGAGAACAAACAAAAATAAATTAAATAAACATCTCTGCTGTCACATTCTGAATGGGACAGACGGGGATCTGGAAACCTCGCTCTGGAACGGAAGTGCCGAGACGTTCCCTAATCCCATGCAGAATCCGGCCGTCAGCTCCCGCAATGAATTAAGAGCTCAGGCGAAACGGAAGCGGGGTGATGTGGAGGGGGATGTGAACGGTGAACGGTTATACCAAAACACAGAAAACTGCTTCACGTTACAACGAGAAAATACGTGACAGTGTGGCACCGGGTGGGACAGGGGTCAGGAAATTCTCAGGAAAACCATTAAAAAAATACCACCATAACCATGGAACTCTCTCCCACAATCACTCCGTGACTGAATTAAACACATTTCTGTTCCTTGAACATTTCTCTTCTTTCTCTTCCTCCTATTCCGATTACTGATTTATTTATTTTTTGTGTAAAGCGACCTTGGGATTGTGAAAGGCTTCATATAAATGGAACTTATTATTTAATAACCATAACGACAACAAGAACGGCAATAATAACAATAATAGACCCTTAATTTAAAATGTATGCAAGAGAGATACACAAACTGAAAGAAGAGGAGGCACAAACTGGTGATTTGTAGTGACTTCCAGAATCGTGACCCCCTAAAGGCATTGGGGTGTGATCCTCCTAGGATTCTACAATAATGCTCCAGGTGGGATCAGAACCCCGTCCGGGGTCACATGGGAAGCACCTGACAAGCTTACACCAATAATAAAAAAAAAAAAGACAGAGCTAAGTGTTCAAATGAGTGCCGAATTGAGATATCGACTGTTGGTGAATTAAAAAACCACAAACGAATGAACAAACGAACGGACGATCAGAGAGGGAGACGGAGGACCTGCTTTCTGCCGTGCGAGCGGGAAGGAGCTCCTGATTTATTGCACGTTTCACTGCTGATGACAATGTGCTATTAAAATAATCACTGATGCAGACAGGATTGACTAAACATCGAGGGGCTCCTCGAGCGGACTCATGGTGAGGCTGTCAGGCGCAGGGAAAGCACAGCCTCTCACTTTCACCGACACACACACACACACACACACACACACAACGAAAGACGTTCTAACAACACGCCAATCCGGACAGCTACAAACACATGGCAGTATGCAGGCAGACATGTAGGCTGGGCACGGATATATTATCCCTATGCTATAAAAAGAAGGCCGGCCAAGCACATGTGCTTAGAGACTGAGTAAGTGTGACAGTGTGTACGGTGTAGTGACTGTGTAAGGGGGGGGGCGTGATTATGTTTAACAAGGCTCATGTTAACAGAGAAAAGCGTTTCTGGAAAAGGTTTCAGAGTGACTCAGAGCAAGCAGAAACCCACAAACACAAAGACAGACTAGTAGCACGGAGCTGGTACTCACTACTTGTAAGTCTCTGATCGGACGTATTCGAAGACGTGGGACACGCCCAGCTGGAACTGGTCGGCAATGGGGGTTACCCATGGGTTGTTTTCTGCCTTGAAGACCTGTTTGGGTCCAGTGAGGTCGAGGTTACCTGGGGAGAGAGAGGGAGGGAAAGCAAGATGAAGGGGAGGGCAGGAGAGGCATGGGGACGGGTGGGGGGGGGGTGGAGCCGCTGTGACAGCAGGGACAGGGGAAGGGAAGGAGGTGAGTCAGAGGAGGAAGTCGGTGACAGGCTGA